GTCTTCTTAGGGTCTCCCATCCAAGCACTAACCAGGCTCATCCCTGTTTAGCTTCGGAGATCAGACGGGATTGGGCTTGTTCAGAGTGGCATGGCCATAGACAGGGAATCTTAATTGGGTCTGTGCCTTCCCTTAAAGGGGCAGAGGCGGGAGGAAATGTTAGAAAAAGGCTCTCTTCCTTTTCCTTGTCCCTCCCTCTTCCTGTATCCCCCTTCTCCCTACTTCTTTACCACTTTCTGTTTAAACCCATCTACTAGTTAACCCACCCCCTCTTCTCCTTCCTTTCTTCCTTCCTTTCCTATTGTTTATTGGACACCGGGGAAAAAAACAACAATAAATAAAAGTCTTTGTCCTCAAAAAAAATATAGTGTAGAAGGGAGGGTGGACAAGAAAGCAAGTGGTCAGTTTTACTGCAGTGCGTTCAGTGTGTTATGATGAAGGGGCGGGCAGATTATTCTCAGTGCCACATAGGAGGGTATCTCCCCAAGGCTTCCTGGCAGAGGGGACACTGAGTGCTTACACATAGTTTAAGAATTAACCAGGTATGTATAGGAGGGAGGTGAGAAAAGCATTTTGGGCACAGAGAGTAGCAAAGGCTAGGAGAAGATAAATCAGTTTGGCCGTAATGTGAAGGTGATCCATGTTTGCTTTTGCTAGTACAACTGTTGACAGAACCCCATTAGTGGAGAGAATATTTTGAATTTAGTAAGATGCAGTGACGGATGATGTCATTGAGGTAAATTACCAATTCAGGCCAGGAACACTTAATAATAGATTACTATATTTTGAAGGTTAATACTTTTTTAAAAAAATGGTTAGTATGTGGGTCAGCGGAGCCCTCCAATCATGCTCTGATGACCACTATTTTAGAAGACAGCGAAATTTTATAATTATGAACAAGTCTCCTTATGTTAGTGTGACATCATCGTCATTTTATTTAAAATTAGCAGAAGTTTTAGTTGCTAAATTTTATAGGAATTAACATAAGTGTGTGACTTATTCTAGAAAGGTAAGGACTTAACAGAGATATGAAGTAAAATATTTAATGTTAATATAGTTTACAACTTTTCAGTACAGGCGTTTATTTAAAAATTTTTCCATCTCTTTATCAAGAGTACATATTAGTGCTATACATATCTTTATTATATTTTATATTTTTTCTTTGAAATCTGGGATGAAAATAGTCCCTCACCATCCCGGAAATAATGATGGATAATGTGTCTTTCTACCATATTTTTACTTAGGACAAAACTGAGTCAAATTTTAAACAAACAAAATTACACTTGTAAACTGAGCATATTGTAAAAGCCTCATTCTTTAATCCATATGGATCATTTGGAGATAATTATCAGTGGAGAAGATAAGGGAAAAATTTTCTCAGCAAAACAGTCTTGCTTCATTGTGTTCAAAAGAGATTACAATCTGAAATCTTTGTCATAAATTCTAAGTTTTTTAGTCAGGGAACATAGAAGAAAGATAACTCGTCTGAGGGAAGGATGGCATGGAAGAGAAAGCCTGCGAGGCTGGCAGGCCCGAGACATGGACGGTAATGCCATCTGCGCCAGTAATCATGTAAATGACTTCAAGCGGGTCATTAATCTCTCCTGGCCTCGTTTCCCTAATTGGCAAACTGGAAATGTTAGTAATATTTTACTTGTTTAGCTGATGATCGTTTTTCCTACTACAATATAAATTCTTAATGGGCAAGAATTTTTATCTGTTTTATTCATGAACTTTTTTTCTTGATGTGAGCACCAGATGAGATAATTTATATTAGTAAGGTTTTCATGACATAAACACCATGCAGATGTTAGTGGGCTTGTAACTGACCATTTTATCTTGTTATAGGATGCATCATCCCCAGGATACAGTCTCTCCTTTATAGTGAGAACAGAGCTGTTTTTTTTTTTTGTTTTTTTTTTAAATCAGAGCCCAAATTTTACAAGTGTCGAAACTATATGTAGTTTCTCTTCCTGAAACCTGAGTCGCTCCATGAGTGGGCAGGGTGGGTCGAAGTCACAGTGCCAAGACGGCAGCTGTGGAACAGTGGCTAGAGTCTCAGATCTGGGGTTGGGAAGCCAGTCAGTCCTGTGACTTCTGTCTCTAAACCTGTGCAGCCAGTCGTGCTGTGACTTGTGGCCTTAGCTCTTGTTCTTCCCCGAGCCTGGAACACTTTCC